GAAGTCTCCCAGGAGGATTTTTGGTCCAAGAAGCAGTTTTAATGTAAGTGCAATGGTCTCGCTGCGAGGCTTACTGGGAACAGAGAACTGTGTTTTACAACTCTGCTATGCTAAACGTAACAAGTCCTAAGTCACCAGGCAAATCTGCAACTGAGGATCTGGGTAACATCTGGAGAGCAGGAGTAAATTGAGTAATGAATTTCTTAAGTTTGTTGATAGGAGCACCAGTCTGTGCCTCTTTGTTAATTAATTTCACTCTCGTCAATTGATATTACCTAGCAGTTCAAAGAAAAGGAGTCATGATTATGAAATATAAAATGCAATTTCCTGTCAGTCTTTCTTAGCCTGTATTTTTATCCTACATAAAATTCTCCCCAAAGAAACTTTTTATTAACGATTGGAAATTGTGACCTGCTGAAGCCCAGCACCTTTCCCGCCACCAGGCTGCAGACTCCGCCAGCACCAACATGCTGCCTTTCAGTCACTGTTTAAGTGAACAAAGAGGAACTTCAGAGAATTTCCATCTTAATAATCTACACACATCAAGACAGAAAGCCTTGCTTAGCAGATGACAGCACGTATCAGGAAGGTCTGCAGGCTGGGTTCCACTGTCAGGGGCCACCCACTCCCAAGCTAATGTGGCTGGGTGGCTCTCTGTGACCCTGATGCCCTTTTGAATTCTTCAGAGCCCTGAAACCTCGGTGACTGAACACGCACTCTGCTCACATCCCCTCCACTCTCTGGAACCCCCGTTGGCCTCCAGGAGGCAGTGGGCAGTGACAGCCTTCTCCTAACAAGAGCGCCTCACTTCCCTTTCACACCAGTGCCCGTCCCTCCTCCTCTGAGTGAAAGGCGGCCCTTCCACTGGCTTTGAAGCTCTCTTGTTTGATCTCCCTGCCCCCTCCTTCTCTGGGGAATTTGGGGCCATTTCCCAGGACATTTCCTTTGGGGATGCTGATGGGAACACTTTCTCTTCAGCCCTTTTATGAACGTCTGCTTATTCCCTGAGACTCACTCTACACTTTATCCCCAAAATTTTTGTATTTACCTTTTCTGATTCTTGAAGTTCAAGTTAAGAGACAAACCTCATGGTAAGTAACTCGTTTGGCAATTTCAGTCCTACATCTAACTCTCAGAAATACATCTCATGAAAGATGAAGAAGTACATCTGAAGTCTAATTTTAATGTTCAGTCCGTGTTTCCAACAACATGCCCACTGTCAAAGCCAATGTACCAAGTACTAGTTTAAGCCCTCTCTCAAATGACTCAATTCTGGGTCTCTTGGTTAAATCTTACAATGCTGTGCTACTCCAAAATTCTGACAATTGTTAATTCAAATTAGGATAGAAGCTCCCTATTTAAAGAGTTACATTAAATATTATATATATATATATATATATATATATATATACATTCTTCATGTTAAGAATATTAAAGGAAACAGAGTGGAGCCAAGTTGTTTGTGGTGGTTCTAATACTTAGTAATTTAAGAAAGTCCTGGATTTTTTTGGAGAAAGACTTGTAGTACAGTAAATAGGCGTGGAGATCACATAGTATAAAATTACAATGGCAATGGAACTTTGATGTATTTAACTGTGACTGTCAGGGCAGCGAGGACTTTCAGTACACTGGAACCTCCCTCACTCTGCTGTATGTGGGATCTGCAGGACCTAAGCAGTTAAAAGAATATTTTCCACTTTTTTTAGACACATGCTATGGCAGGGGATCACTCTAATATTGCATGCTTTCTAGTATATGAGAAATCTAAAATATAAATGAATTAAAGAGAAAAATAAAAGAAAATGGAAATCAGGGAGATCTCGTATAAGAAGAAAGGGGGCCAAGAGATGGAAGTAGAGGGTTGGGAGAATTAAGATGTGTTCTGCACATGCACCTACTCACCACAAAGAACATAGTCACTATGCATGGCAAACAGGTGCTGACAAAAATTAAAATTAAAAAAGAAATGGCAATTCAAAAGGATCAATCAAGAAAAAGCAAACAAAAGCAAGCAAAGAAGTTAACCTTGTCTCAGAGAGTGAGAGAAGGCCTTGCATACCACACAGGTTCCCAGGAGAAGGGGCAATCCTAGTCCTAATGGAGGTGACAAGATTGCAGAGGTCTAACGCGGCACCGTGGAGGTTCGGATGTGGGACAGGACGTACGGAGCACAGAAGTCTCATCTTGGGAAGGTGAATTGGCGTTCCTGTCACTGCGATGCAATACCTGACACCCAGGACTGGAAGGAAGAGAAGTTTAATTTGTCTGTGGCTGGTGCTCAGGCAGAGCCATCCTGGCGGGAGGATGTGACAGAGCAAAGCTGCTTCAGAGTGGCAGGAAGCAAAGCAGGGAACAGTGCAGGACAGAAGGGATCAGACCATGCGAAGACCCCAAAGCCACCCCTCTGTGACCCACCATTTTGAGGGGCCTCCCCAAATCAGGCAAGTTGGACGGACCTCCACTGTAATGGCTGCAAAATGTGTTGGAACTGGGGCAGCGAGAACTGAAAAAGGAACAGATGTGGGTCGTGAACTCAGAAATGAAGACAGCTTGTCCAGCCGTGGAGAAAACAGTACGGGGTGAATTTGGGCAGTGAGCAGCAGATTGCAGCACAGAGGAGGAGTGAAGAATCAGGAGGTGGCACCACGTCGCCCTCTCAGGATGTCCAGGTGTCTCAGTCCTCAGCTCCAGAGGTAGCAAAGCCTTCTGATCCCTGTAAAATCACTGTTCCACTGCCTAGAAAGCTTCTGAAACTTTCCCGGAACTTCCTGAGTTCAAGCATGGAAGGAAAGGTGGCTCTGGAAGGGGTGAACCCACTGAAGATGCAGTGGTTCCAGGGCCAGAGAAGTCCCAGCTGACGGAGCTCCATAGCAAATGCTTGCTTTGGGTACTCCACAGGCAGCAAGACTGGCTCACTCTTAATTTCAGTGTGTTTGACTTCAGTTAGAACAGTTTTGGGCTTATCTTGCCATGCGTGTATTTACACACAGAAAACACCAAGGAATCCAGATGGGAATATCAGCCTGAAACTTGGCCACCCAGCCTCGCTCTGCTACTTCTCTGTTTTGGGAAAAAAAGACAGCAGGAAAAGCAGTCAAGAAAATCCCACCTCATCATCAGATTCCTCCAAAGATGATTTTTAAAATAATTAACATGCCAACTCCATTGCGAACCTCCCATGTGAAATCCATGCCAACTGCAATCTTACTAATCACAGAGATTTTCTTTAAAGACTTACTTTCAAATGGGAAGAATCTAAAAGAGTTTTTAGATGACTATCTTTTTGTCTCATTAGTTCAGTTATATTTTTTCTTACAAGCTAGTTATAAAAAGTTTTTTAAAAAGAGCTATTTTTAAATGAAGGAAGAAGTGTGGGCCATTAAAGTAGAAAATGACACAGATACTCATGTTCTTTGAGCAACAAAAAATGATCAGAAAATAAATAACCAAACAAACCCGTCCAGCAACATCTCCTTGCACCAAGCGCCACCCAAAGAGTGCAACGGGAAACTGAACACCAGCTTACAACAGCAGCACAGCCAACTTCGGTGACAATGAGGTCACTGCCCACAGTCAGGTTGGCTCAGCGGGCCAGGTTTCACGCTCATTCACAGGCAGCCTGCTTCTGACACCTCCAGACACCATCCCTCAGCAAGCACAAGAAAAGCCGTGTCTGCGCGATGCATTCACGTCCTGTCATACATCTGCTTGTGCACTGGAGAAGCTCTAGAAGAGGCAGCTAGGAGCTGTCTCTTTCTCCTCCTTGTCAACCGCTAATGGGGATAACCAAGTCTACTACACTGAATTGTCAGAATAATTAGTACATGGCCAATATTTACATTACTGTGGGACCTCTATTCCCAAACTTGATTCTTTCCACAATTCATGTCACATAACTGATTTGATTGAGAACCAAGCAAATTCAGTGCTTGGGTGTAACACTGACATTATGGGGAAATAGGATTCAGTTCTCTTCCAATTGAGTTTACAACCAGAATCATGAAAAGAATTAAGTTTGGGAACTGAGGCACACTGGATTTACAAAGAAATAGTGGTCGCGTAGAAATTATGTTCTGGAGATTGCTATTCTCATTCATGTGCTACACACACTGCACACGTGGTAGAGGAATAAAGGAATATGTGATGAGTGAAGAAAGGCATTTCATTATACCCTTAGAAATCCAAGCTGATTTTTAAAATGCAGGTTCAAAGCATCACGCCTAAAGCAACATTGACAGTATAAAGTTGCACTGAAAGTTATTTTGGATTTGTATGTGACAGATAGACTTTCTCAAATGAGCTGTTCTCTGTAGTTCATAATTGTTAAGAATTGTAAAGGTGATAATCCTGCTACCCACTGGCAAACATAGGACCCCAAACTGCAGTCCTATCTAACTCCTGTCCTCCTAGAGCTTTATCCTACTGAAGTGATAAACCACACATGTTGCCTGTGGATACCACTGCAGGTTAGGTACCAGCATTAGGGGCACACATTTAGCAAAAATCCACCTAGTTCCACACGTGTTAAATCACAAAGGGTGATCCATGCAACAGGGTAGAATTGAAATATTCTGAAATTAAACGATACTTAAATTTTAATTCTGTGGATATATTATTTAAACTAATTGAAAGAAAAAATCAACATGGTACTGTATATGGAAGCAAAACTCAGGTTAATATTTGAAATAATTTTAATAATAAGTTCTGTGAATGAATGCACTAACACATGAGCATTCAGCAGAAACAAAGATAAAAACAACCAGGTTAAGATTTCCACTCACCTCCAATGCAGCCCATATTGTAATTTTTATGAGTATTACGGAAAAGAAAAAACTAGAGAAATAACGTTTACTACCTCACTGGGAAAAGGAAGAAAGGAAATGAATAAAGTACTTAATGTACTCAATTTTAGACACCCAAATTCCCTCATTGGATTGAGGCCCAGGCTCCATATGGAAAGCAAGAAGAGAGGTTTTCCCCTTATTTATCTAAGTAATTACCTTCAATGTCTGCTTTACTTTGGCTGTGGAGACATAGTAACAACCATGAAGACCCTACTGAAACAAGAAGATACAAGGTTCATAATACGCTCTCCGTGTCCACTGCAAAAAAGCACAGGAACGCCACCTAAAAATGCAAACTGTGACCTTTTGTTGCAAGATTAAACTCTTTTCTTTTCAGCTACATTGACAAGTATTTGCTCTTCATTTTCTAAGCCAAGGGCAGCATTTTGCATAGTAATCCACACCAAATAGAAGAAGTGCACATCATGAGAATTACAGACCGCGTTGGCTGTCGGCATATTGAAACACGAACATTAGAATTATCACTTTTCTGGAGTCCTCTGGCCTCCTGTTGCAAAACAAAAGACAAGTAAGGAAAATAGCTTGCCTGGGAAACAGACATCAAAACTGTGTCTCAGTTCCACAAAAGAAAACCTACACCAAAGTCCAGAGAATGTTTAAAAAAATCTAGGGAAAATTAGTAAGTAACTGTAGTCTTCATTTTCAGGGTGGCAGGGCTGACTTTGAGGGTACACCCTGCCATCTTGTTCTAATTTCTGTGGTACCCACCCCCTCCACACGTCTGCCCCTTGAGTTGTAAAGAGGTCCTCCCACTGCATTGACCTCCACAAAGTGATGCAATTCTTAAGCGGTCTTCTTTCTGTCCTACTATTTCCTCCTCTTATAATCTGAGATGAGTTCAGCATTCTAATCTCACAGTGGCCACAAGGAGAACCAACTTCATCCCAGTGCCTTTCTGCAGAAATGAACAAATTGTTCCGCGGTTCTCTCAGCATCAGGGGTGGTAAAGTCAACTTTGAAAAATTTGTTTACCTGACTTTTAGACATTATCATGGCTATAATTTTATTGGTTTGCTTGTCTAGCAAAGCTACCTCCTCTCTGACTATTAAGATGCATCAGCCTCTCTTTCTTTATAATTCACAGAAGTGAATGTCCACAGTTTCCCACAAGTCATCCATTGTCACAAGGTAGCAGGCAGGAGCCTATTCCTATCTTTGGTTGCAAGATGTTGCTTGAAATTCACGTTCCTATAGAATGCTCACTGCAGGATTTGTTGTTGGTGTTGGTGGTGCTGGTGTCGATGGTGGTGTTACAAGACGTTGAGGAAAACATGAGATAGAAGGGGTCTCTACCGTTGGACAGAGGGAGGCCTCGCTCTGCTCCTGAGAATTTAGCTCCCTCCTTCTGAGAGTGCCTCTAGTAAATTGTCAGGCGAGTGACAGGCAGGCTGGTAGTGAAATGGTGGGAAATTTAAAGTAGTTTGGCAAAGATCCCCGTGGGAGAGGAGATTTGTGTTGGGCACAGTGTGCTTTCTTGTGCAAGGAACTCCTTTAGGCTTGGGCCCACCAGGCAGGCAGGAACCACGATGTTAACAAAATGCTCTACCGCCTGAGTTTCTATAATTTTTCTAATAGCTCAGGACTTTGAAGGACAACGATGAACTACAATAACAGAGCAGCTCTGCAATGTGCAACATGATCACGACTGACACAGCAGGAGAGGGTGACAGCTTCAGTGTTTGCATGGGCATGGGTGCTGCAGCTCCAGATTGGGATTCTTGGAGTTCTTCTGCCTATTGCAAAAGTTACAAAATAAATTTGTAATCATGCTTGCCCTTGATCTGCCTTTAGGTGATGCATCAGAAAGATAAATCAACTTGCTCTGTATTCTGTGTCCTGTGAGCTCGGAAAAAAACAGGACAAACTGTACCGCTCAGAATGAAACATAGAGATTATGAATCGAGTATCAGTGATGTCTGGGAAAGGAAATGAATTACCAATTGGATGGGGTGGTGAAAGGAAGAGAAATGAGGAAGCCATTTACACAGTTCTGTTTCAAATTATTAGTGTTTCATGCAGTTTATATTTATCTAAACTCTTTGCATAACCCAAACTTGATGCTCTGAGATGGACACTGGACACTTTCTCACAGCAAGTGTGAGGATGAAAGGGTGAGCTTAGTGTTGAAGGGTTGGATGCTGGGTGGGGAGGAGAGGACGGGGTACATGAACTCTATGCCACGGGACACGTGATTTTTAGATGCAGTTGTTTTTTGCTAGTGTTCTTTTAGTGAAAGAGAGGATACTACTCAGCAGCTTGCTGGGTTTTATTTTCTTTTATTTATATTTTTGGTAATGCAGGCATCTCACTTTAGAAAAACTGAGTGATGTATCCTCAAGCCAATCTTCAACTCCAATTCTTAACACCTCATTCCTCCCAAAAGCTGCACAAAACTCTCCCTGAGATCTCAACACGCTTTGAACAAGATGGCAGGAAATGAGAGAGGACTGTAAAACTGGACAGTGTACAGCCAGGTTTTAAATTAATCCTAATGAGGCATTCATTACTAGGACAGTTGTGAAAGTGCAGATTAGGAGAATGCACGCTAGGGAAGTAGGCACACAGCTCTGCGGTGAACCGCAGAGGTGGGCTGGCTGCTTTGGGTGAAGGAGGCACCCGCTGGGTCCAGGAGCGAGATTACCTAGTTTAACTGTGGAACTGACATGCAAAATGTCAACTATGAGACAGAAATGCAAGGTAAGGTCTAAAATAACCGCTCCACATATAGTCACTGAACTCATTAACTTTATCAAAAAGGTAGCGCCCTGTAATGCAGGTCTAATTTATTATTGTAAGGGTTAAAATGGCAGCATTTCTGCCATGTAGCTTGATTACACTCAGACAAACTCACTATGGTCACATTTGCAAAATATAATTCTTAATGAATCTGGCTGCATCCTGTTTATGCAACTTCAGTCCACAGGGGAACCATACACAATCCACAGTGACAGATTTTTCACAGGGTTAGTCTTTGGCTGCCAGGAAACTCATTAATAATTCAAGAACATAACATACTAGGTACAGTTGTTTCATTTCTTTCCCTTTTGCAAAAAAATGTGCATAGAAATGCAGAAATATATCAATATTTAAGAAAATGATAAAAGAAAAATCATATTAGCTTTGTAATTACGCACTACAATTTAACATCTATTTTGTAATTTCAGACAAATTGTTTGTAAATTTAAAATACAGTGAGAAAAAGTAGACATTTTCATCTATGCTAAGTTTAACTGAAACTCTAAAGGGAAATTTTACTGCGTGAAATTTAAAACATGCGATTCAGATATAAAAAATTTAGAGTATAATTGGATAAACTACTTGCTAGATTAACTCAGGTAATTTACTAGATCTTAATTGGATGACTTCTTCCTCAATAAGATACAAAAATCAACAACCACATTATTTTTTATTAAATGGGGATAATATCATTAAATGGGAGTTGTGCATGTAAACATGCTTTATAATCCATATAAAAGTAAGATATCTTGACTATTATCAAGCAACAAGATTAAAAACAGTTATGAAAATTGTTTTTGTTTAAATTAATAGACACTTAACTTTAAGGAACTTGATTTCAAAGGCACTAGTGGATAGACCAGATTTTGTTTGCACTTTGCTACAAGTTTAATTATAGACTCTCTGATAAAACTATAATAATGTACAAAAGGCAACTTTACCTTCCTGATTCAGAAAATTTTTCCATACACAATTAAAAATTTTATTTTAACAGAGTGAAATCTAGTTACAAATCCCAATTTCTAATTAAGAATATTGTTTAGTAATTTCTTATCCTTAGAACAAATTTTTGCCTGTGGTAGACTTTTGAGGTATAGTCAATACACTAAAAAGAAAATCAATAATTTTTTAAAATTCATAAAAATCATGACTGTGTAGTTTTGATTTATTGTTCTGGTTGTTGTTTTGTAAGATTCTGTTTCCTGACTTTTCCCTTTCTGAGTCTCCACCAGCATGTGCTGTTGAATTCTAAGAGGCAAATTAGGAGCTACCACAAATTGAGGATTAATTATTAATAGATGTTAAAAGATAGAGGGGTAATACTCATGAAGCGGGATGTCAACAGACTACAGTCTGAAATGGAAAAGTTAGCCTGTAGTTAAAATAGGGCTCTTCCATGAGAACACATTCAATTTGAATAAAAATTTCCAACTTATTCCATTGTAAATAACTCTCCAGCATTCAGTTTCCTTGTACTTAAAATGAAGAGTTGTGAAGGCTAAATAAAAGACCCCAAGGAATGGATCTATGTCAGCATTGGATCCAAAGGAGTGATTCACTGAATCTTGAACAATATCTGTGTGGGATTGTTTATGAACTCATTCATACAGAAAAAACTGAATTTTTATCATAATATCCCTCGTTAGGGAGTTAAATTTTAGACACAGGAAAATCAGGTTAAAATCTCTTTTTAAATCCATTAGAGTGCCCAGGTGTGATGGTGCACACCTTACTCCCAGCACTTGGGGGCTGAGGCTGGAGAATCTCTGTGATTTCGAGGCCAGCCTGGGCCCCATAAGCATGTTCAAGGTCAGTTTGCACTACCTAGTGAGATCCTGTCTCAAAAATAGAACATGAATAAATAAAAATCAATCCATTAAAATGCCAAGTCAACTCTAACTCATTTTTACCCCACAGGTACACACATACGTGCACACCCAGATATAGACTGATATATATACATCCTTGCGCACATGTACAAATGTGACACATCTTAATTTCAAGGAGGAAGATACTAGAATGCAAATCATAAGAACCATGCATTTTTTCAGTAAAGTCGTTTGATTTTCCGATGCTTTTTAAATCCTTAAATTTAAACAGTTTTGGTCTGTGGTCAGTGGAGGAAAAGGACCATTTATTCTAGATTCAGCACAATAGCACAAGAAAATTACCTGGGATGAAGTTGAGTCCCATGGGCATTATAAAATTTAAGGCATGGCGAATGTTGCTACTTGAGTTGGAGCCCAGAAAGAATACTTAGCAAGTCAGCAAAGGTAGGCACAAGTTTAAAGAAATCCACTCCTTGCTAAATGGGTAATAGTGACAGGTTTTCAGGGAAGTGTGGTTTTTGGTACTGAGTTCTCATCTGCTGAACATTAAAAGTCCTTAAGTCATTGGGAAAAGAAATGAAGTATCTACCTTTAGCCTATGACAGCTGTGTAGATACATTAGCT